TATGTAGACGCGTAGGTATATGGTGCACTTGCATTTTTGAGCCTTGAGCTCAGGGCTTGGGAGGTTTGAGTTTGTTGCTTCGCTGTTAAGGGCTCAGGGTTTCTATAGGGTTCAGGGGCGCACCCAAGTTTCAACTAGACTAGACTTCATCTCGCATTCCAGAAGTTCCCATTCGCAGGTTATGCCGCTTCGGCTTGATTCTGCTTCAAATTTGATTTCTACTTGAGTTGTGTCGAAGCAGCACGCAAGCGCGATGCGGAACGGTGGCTGAAGAAGCCTGCAATTGTGCTTGGTAGAGGCGCAGTAAGCTTTGGCAGAAGAAGGCAAGGTAAAGTTGAACAGCAAAATCAGTGGCAGAAGTGCATGCTGCTTCAGCTCGGGTTCTGCTTCATTTTTGGGTGCTAGCACACGAAAGTCCGTATAAGGGTCCAAGTCCTCAAGTATTCGGGCTTTAGGTTACCAAAGCCGTTTAGACAATTAGAGAACCTTAAGCTTTCGATGCTGCCCACACCTGCAAGATTCTTCAAATTCCTGCTCTTACGTGTTCCGCCCATTTTCTACACCGAGTGTCTACATTAAGGTATTGACCCCAGTTAGCGGTTGATACCTCAACCACACGACATATACGTAATATATATATATATGTAGTAATGTGAATTACACGCTTGTCTATACCCATAGGCATATAGATGCACACTTCTGTGTCAAGCCCTCACTCTATCCCTGAGATCCACCCCTCCCCAAGACCCCGAGCCATATGCCAGTGTAACAGTCCAACCCCAAAGCTTAAATCCCGAACTATATTGCTGTTCCTGCGTGACCATAGCATACTCTAGTACCATAATCCCCGAATTATAAAGTACTAAGGTTATGCAGGATTGTGAGCATCTACCATAATCGTCCCCCCAAAGAAGCACGGAAGCTCATATGGTCCGCCTCTCGAACGGCAGCAGTGTTTGCAGAGTGCTTTGTGGGCTTTCAGTCTAGTTTTAGGGCAGTGTAACCCTAAACCGGACGCGCCGCGAGGTCCTAGTGGCGGAAGCAGACGCTCTGGAGCACCCTGCCTCTTGGACCAGCAAGTGGCGCCAAGCCTTGAGATTTGTCAAAAGCAGGGAGTTTCTAGGTAGGGTTTAGGGTTAAGGGTTTTAGGGCTTACTGTTCTGGGGTTTAGGGTTTAGTATTTTAGGGTTTAGGGTTTTTGGTTTTTAAGGTTTAAGGGTTGGCGGTCTGCCGGACATAGGAGGCTCGTGCATTCAGAAGAATCCTACTTGAACAGCCGCCTTGGACATTCGGAGTTGATGTCTACATAATCCTCCTAAAGCCGCATATGAGCTACTCTCAACATTAAAATTACAACAAACATTGGAGAGCAGGTTCCTGTTGATTAGGGGCTTGGGGTGGATACTTACTCCTGCTTGACCCTCAGCACCTCATGGGGAACTATGGTATTGTAATCTAGTGCCTTCTTTGGGGTTTCGAACTTAATGTACCCCATGTCCTTCACATCTAAACCCTATAAGCCCTGTCAGCAGTGGCTGTGGCTCATTCCTCCCTTTTCTGTGAGAGGCGGTTTAGGGTTTAGGGTGAGATCTACTTGGAGGGTCATGGGGGCTTAGTAAGTAGGTTACTATCTAGGATAACTAGGGTTGCTATATGGGCTATAGGGGTTATAAACCCACTTACTAAGTCCCCCTGACCCTCCATGTAGGGATTTCTGTGCAGCCAAGGTGGCAGACACGCTGGCAGAGTTGCCTTGCGGCGGCAGTGGAGTGGTAGCAAAAGGGCTGTAAGGAGTTTTGCGATTAGCATTTTCCGGGTCAGGAGGCATGGGATTTAGGTGTATTAGGGGAGTCGGGTACCCAGATACTTATGAACCATTCAGAAAGCAACCTAAGGAATTACCTTCAGCAGTAGGGTGCCGATGTTGGGCGCCCGTTTCCAAATGAACGGCAACATGTATGAACACAAAACCCTAAACCCTAAAAGCCTCATAAACTTCCTAAGCCCAAAAAGCTCCAGACGTCAACCCTCGACTCAGATCGCCGCAGGTTTCATTAAACCCTAAACCCAAAAAGGCCACCGAAGCCCGAATCCGATGCAAGGGCGGGCTCTGGCAATGACGGCTGTGGTGCTGCCAAGGGCCCCCGGTGGGTAATCTAACCCCATATATGTTACCCTATTATAATATAGTAGTTTCCTTTTTCTTTTCCATTCTCCCAATCTAACCCCAATATAACCCTATATATCCCCTATATAACCAATTAGATGGTAGGTCCCATTTTCTGTTCCATTATCCCCAAAGAACCCCATTATATATACCCCTATAATCCCCATTATACTATAGTAGTTTCCTTCCGAGCCAGCAATGGCAGACCACAACCCTAAACCCTAAACCCTAAACCCCTAAACCCCTACACCCCTAACCTGGCAGCTCCTCCCCGGACTTGGCCACCTCCTCCGCCAGATAAAGCACACATGGAGTGCACTATGGTCCAAGCTCAAACCCTAAGGATCCAAGTATACAAATAATACCTACATTGGGTCCCAAAGTCTGTAAATATTACATACATTGGGCTATTTGGATCCCTAGGGAAAGCCAACCCCAACAAGTGGAGAATACGGTGGATACGAAAAAATCCTGCATGACCCTGAATACCTTAAACTTTGGGAAAAATGGTACTATAGTATATTAAGGTCATGCAGGAGTTGTGGTATCAACAGTAGTACAAGGACCGCTCGCGGCCCTGGTGTCGTGCTTGGTCGACCTCCAAGTCGACCCGGAAGTTAGCCGAAAACCTCAACCCCTTGCGTTGGGAACCGTAAACCCCCAAACTGTAACCCTAAACCTTTGACACTAGACCTTGGGTACTGCCCCCACTCAGTAACAGCTGGATATAATATGGGTATATAGAGCCCTTAATATGACCCCTTATTATATACTGTTCATGTGTGGGGGCAGGACCCAACCCTAAACCCTTAATACTCAATCCCCTGGAGGACTGGAGCTATGGGGTTTAGAAAAGCAGATCCTGAAGTGGTGGTAGTTAGGGTTTAGGGTTTAGGGTTTAGGGTTGGGATTTAGAAAAGCAGATCCTGAAGTGGTGCTAGTTTCCATAAGATGGACCCCCTGAATATCTGTAACCCCTAATATAGGAATCCTCAGCAAGGAAAAGTTGGGAACCCTTCATGTGTACAAAAGTGGAAGACGTGATGCTCCACAAGGTTTATAGGGGAAGGGCTTAGGGTTCATGTTATATAATGCAGAACTTTTCATCCCAGCTGGGAAAACCCAATTACGGATGATCGGTACCCAACTGGAAAGAAGCCTAACCCTTGACTCTAAACCACCTGGAAAATGCGATGGACACAGGGATTATGTAGGGGCTTGTAGGGGTATTTCGGCTAGGGGAACAGCCCAATTTATAAGCAGGTGAAATTTTCCAGTTTTGTCAGAACCACGATCACCGATAAGTAATACACCTACCTAGGAATCGCCAGAGTGACGCGGGGCTTCAAAAAAACCAAAGCCTAAACCCCAAGCCGCATTTCAAATTTTGAGGTTTTGGACTGCCAGGTCATGCTGCGTCCATCTTCAGCCACCTAAGCACGGCCTGCACCGCTTTCCACAACCCAAGAAACAATAATCGCTGTAGTTTAGGGCTTAAGGTTTAGGGTTGTAGGGTTTGGGGTTGGGGCAGTAGTGCAGGATTTCCTGGAGCAATGCAACCAATCTAACGAACACAATAATTTGGTCAAGAAAATTCCACTACGACTGTTGCCACAAGCTTGACATTTGAGGATACCTACATCCTGACATACTGCTGTAGGGTTTAGGGTTTAGGTTGCTCAAGCAATCTTTCAGGGATACACGGCATGGATGCTACATCCAGCTGGCCAGCTGGCGGCTCAGGCTACTGGCGAGCAGGCGCTTCCCACTGTCTACCTTCGGCTTGCTGGAGAAGAAGGCGGAGCGGACCGCTTCGTTCTGGCTTACCTTTTGCGGTGCCGGGCCAATGGCTTCATGCTCCTCTTGCCCGATGTGGACCACGTCGACGGCTTTGTGGAGGTCTTGGTCAACGACGAGGACGAACCTTTGGCTCTGACTCCGCAAAGTGCACTCGGAGACAGTCCGCGGTCTAAGCCCCAAGTCCCTAAACCTTAAATCCTCAACCCTAAACCCTAAATCCTAAACCCTAAGTCCTAAATCCTAAACCCTAAATCCTAAGCCCTAAGCCCCAAACCCTAAACCCTGAATCCTAAACGCCAAACTCTCTGGTGAAATTGCCTCTTGAAGGGTTCGATCCATGGAGTGCGGGCATCCCGGTGCCGTCCTGGCACCCATTTTAGTTCTGGCTACCCTTAAGGGGGATATAGGGGATGTCCAGGTTTATATAGGGTTCAGGGATTAGGGTGTATGGTTTCTTACTTTTTCGGTGGGCTCCGACAGGTTTTTGGGGCAACTGACTTGCGGAGCGAAGGATGACACGTCGGAACAACTTCTGCCAGTTGTTCAAGATCAATTACCCCTGCATGGCGAAAACCACTTCCATGCTTTATCTGTTCCCAACATATCTTCCACCCAAATGCGACTTCCGAAGTCTTATTGCTGTGCTAAACAATCTTGGCCCACTTCTACTGTAGTATAAGTTAAACACCATAGGGAACCCGGACGGCCGTTTAGGCGCTCTGGAATTTGAGGGAATTAGGGTTTAGGGTTTAGGGTTTAGGAATTTGAAAACATGTATGTGCTTTATCATTGTAGGTATCTCCCAAGATATCACCAGTTTTATGTGGCCCTTGAGGGACCGCATGGATTGTAAAAGGGCCCAACGGCCCCAAGAACGTTAAACCCCAACTCCCCAACTCCTAAATCCTACACTTTTTCACAGCTTTCAACCTACACCTAAATCCCTAAACCGTAAATCCTAAGCCCTCAACCTTAAACCCTGAGACCTAAACACTCGGCCCTTACACCCTAAACCTTCGAACTCGATGTCTAGGCTAGAGACCCTGCAGAAGGAGAAAAGCAGCTTGGCCCTTCCAAGAATTCAAGTTTGAGCATGGTTTAGGGTTTAGGGGTTTTGGGGTTTAGTATAACCTTACTACGCTACAACACCATAGTTCCCAATGTAGGAGGCGCTTAGGGTCATGCAGGTTTTTTGTATCCATCGTATGGTGGATGCGTGGGGTCTAGGGTTTGGGGCTTAGATCCTGCATGACCCTGCGCGCCCTAAACTTTGGAAATAATGGTTCCCTAGCTACACTAAGCTCATGCAGGGTTTTTAGTATCAACATTATAGGGCTCTCTCGGAAGAGGGCCCTACAGTAGGACGGTATAGGGGTTTACGAAGGATAGGAGCCGCCCTGGTAGGATGTTGGGGTTCTAAAGGTGCATTTTTTTCTCGGAGAACTCCGGTGGAAAGGAAAGGGACGGGCTTTAAGTTGGGAGTAGCGTATTGGGGTGCAGGCTTTAAGGAGTAAGCTTGCTGTTTTTCCGATCGGGTTCCAGGATTTTCCAAGAGCGCAGCGGCGCACCTTGCTCTACATTTTTTTTTCTGAGGCTAGCTTCAGAGGCACTCACACCGGCCATCTTTCAAATGACTTCACTAGAACGTCCGTATGCCTCTGGTAATTTTGAGAAGCTGTAGCTGCTGCCAATTTCCTTTCAAGTTACAGGTCAACCCTAAACTGAAGCCTGGTCTGTCGCGCGCGTTTGTTGGCTTTCGCGCACGGCTTGCTGCGATCTCGTTTCTAAAGCCAATTCTCCAATATTCGTTCAACAAGTCTCTTGCTGACACAATTCTCTGGAAAAATGTAGAAACTAGGTTGGCTATGGAACGTGTCTGAAGTCCAAGAACCCATGAGTGGAGAACGTGTCGCGCACGTTTCTCAGCTTTTTTTGCGCGCGGCTTGCCGCGATCGCGTTGCGAAAACCAAACTTTGGATTTTCGTTCAACATATTTGTTTGACGAAATTCTCTGAAAAGGTGCAGAAACTACGTTAGCTATGGATCGTGTACGGAGAACCATCAGATAAACACTAGATTCGATTTCTGGGATCTGCGATCTAAGGCCTGAGTGTTTCACCTAGCTTTGCACAAAGCTTGGTGGCGTAAGGAGATGTGAGGGGAGGGAATACAGGTAAACCCTAGGGTTTCGGGTTTAGGGCCCTAAACCCTAAATTAGACATGTAGGGGGATATGTAGGGATTATGCGGATCCAATCACTCCCCTGAAGCACCAGTAAGATAAGCCTGAAAGATACTCCTCATTGGGAACTTGGTGGTAATTGGTGGGATCTATAGGGTGTAGGGTTTCAGGAGTTCCTTGCATAAGGTTTCCCCCCTCCCGAAGAATCCGTGGATTCCTCAACATGTTTATACATAGAATCGCGGGACACCAGTCTATTCTGTGAGGTATGCATTCACTGTTTGGGTTTTGGGTTTCCTGACAAACTTGCACACTCCACCTTTGATTGCTCACCCTGAAAGTGGACATTTTCTCCAATGTGGGATCCTGATTACTTAGACCCCTATACCCTACCCCGTTTTGAGGATACCTAACTTTATGTCTATTATCTTCTGTATATACGAGTAGGCACCCGCAAACAAGAGGCAGCATCCAACTTGTTGGAATTGGACTCATGGATCCCGGGATGAACCTTAGTTTGAAGGTGTAGGGTTTAGGGTTGGTTTAGGGTTTAGGGTTAGGGTTCAGGCTGTAGGGTTTAAAGGGATTTTTCCCATTAAGTTCAAGCAGACTATTAGGTAAAATCTTTCTCAAGCTCAGGCTACAAGTGCGTCGCCGCTGTGTCTAGCTCCCTGGCAAAGGAAGGGACCCATGCACCTAGCTACAGGAGTTCCCACTAGTACTTGGAGGGCCAGGGGCATTTATTAGTAGCCCCTATAACCCTATAGAAACTTCAGTTTAACCCACTATTGAAGAACTTGCAAGGTCCTCCTGAAGCTCCAAGTACCAAGTAGTGTAATATGTACCCGAAAAACGGCTCATAGGGCTTATAATGGGTTTCTAACCCCGCATGAACAAGTGTTTGTATGTGGTTGCCACGCTTTGGAGAATACGCTCTGAGCATTCTATCATGAGCTGCGAACCCTGACGAATTGTTGGGTTGACAAAGATAAATAGAGCGAGAGAGAGAGAGAGAGAGAGGGGTAGGTCTTGGATGGATAACCAAGCTACGCCGAGGGACATGCCTAGGTCAAGCCCAAGTCCGTCAAGCCATCTTGCAGACAGTTTCTTTCCACCTATGCTTACTGGGGGATAGTAGGGAATAAAGGAATATACTATATAGGATGGAGAATTTCCCTTATTCCCTACTAATACATAGTGAGTATGGGTGTATCAAAAGTTCGGCTCGCACAAGAACTGCACGCAGCTGTTCCGTGTTGGTGTTACGTGTTAAGCAACTTGAAATTACTCTCTATAATGCGGGGAACCCTACTATTCACGATATACTCGTATTATCGTAAAAATATGGGTAAGCAATGAATCATAGGGCTCCCTTAGAATAGTAAATTAGTTTAATTCAACTTCCTTAACAGCAGCTCCGTTGCAGGGTTCAACAGTGTGATCGGACTGTAGAGGCCAAAACAACTACGAATATTCTGGCCCTAGACTCTTTGCGTAATTATGGTCCAAAGTATGGTACGCTTCAGAATGACATGAGTAACTATTTATCCCTACATCACGTACTCCCAAAAAAATATGAGCCCAGTTTTCATTTCAAGTTTAGTGTTCCTTCCCATATGTTCTCCATTCTTGCGGCAGTGCCCCTAAACCCTAAGCCCCAAATACCTCTAAACACACAGAAAGGGACCCAATCTTTTTTAGGCTTCTACAGTAGAGCCAAAGCCCATGGAGCGCCTATGGTCAAAGAGACAATGGTTTGCTTCAGCCGATCCCATACTTTGAGGTAGGGTTTAGGGTAGGTCCATAGGTACATATCGATAAGCTACAGGGAACACTAGGGTTTACCACCACAAGCCGAGCATCAGCCAGCAGGTCCTGAGAAGCCAACTGAAGGCTTGGTTGGACCTCAGCAACGTGCATGTTTTTATACGGCCGTTGCTAGGTAGCCTCATCTTTTTAGACTTGGATGGCTATCGCAAGACCTGGGACACATTGATTGAGCTGCGCTCACGCGCTTGGTCGAAACGTTCTTCTGGGAACTACCAGGCCTGGTATACGCTGCCATCTGACCTGGCCTCCAAGGGCCATTAAGGGTGGATATAGGGGTCTATATCATCAAGCTATTGAGAACTGTATTTGTACCCCGCCTATAACCCTGGTGGACTTGGGAGGCTCATAATTTGGCTCTAAGTACATTCAGAAGTAGGCTGTAAGTGTCAGCCGACTTCAAGGTACAAAGTGCGACTTTTGGCCAAGCCGCTGGGGTTTTTCGTCCAGACTGCATAATTATAGTTGCCAAACCATATCATGGTCTTTCGGGACTCTAAGATTATGGGCATGTTGCCTGACCAGTCGGCACTTTGAACACTGGCTGAATGTTGCGCCAATGTGTGACCACCCAAATCTAAACCCCTGAGCCGTATCACGTCCATTCTGACCCTTGCAACCTAGGCCCGTAGAGCCAAAAAAAACCCAAATCCTCCTAAGCCCTACGAGGCCCTGCAAGCCCCACCTAAACCCCTAAACGCGCAAACTCTGAACCCTAAAGCCCCGAGCTTCAAACCGCAAACCCTCAACCCTACGCCCTACCCTCGCTGGTGCGTAAAGGAGCCCCACTACACCCCGCAAACCGGCCCTAAACCCTAAACCCGAAGCCCAAACCTGAAACCCAAAGTCAGAGGAGACTCTACCCCGGCTTGCCGCAGCGCTGGATGTGCAGCCTGTCACAGACATCCTGGAGGTTGCAGAGGACAGCTCAGGTTTAGGGTTGAGGGTTCAGGGTTTAGGATTTAGGGTTTAGGGTATCGGCTTTAAGCATTAGGGTTTAAGGTTTACTTGTAACCCCAATTACTTACAGTTTAGAGGCACTTCCTCCCGAAATAATTTAGTAGGCATAACCGGTAAATCTGCAAGTAATTGGGGTTACAGGTAGGCTTTAGGGTTCGGGTTTAGGGTGTAGGCTTTAGGGTTTAGAGAGGAGTGTCGGCCCCGAAGCCAGAAACCAAAGGATGAGGCTGAACGATCGAGGGTGCTTAGGATCGAGGGTGTTTAGGGTTTAGGGTACTTGGAAGTACAGGCCCCTAACATGAAGCTTTAGCCATTTAAGCGAGAGTCTTGGGGCCATCATAGGTGCATGCGCAGGGCACGCAAATAACAAGCAATAGATATGTATATACCTCATATTTGCATATGCCTGCATGCGTATACGTATTTGTATATGTACATGGACATGTAGATATTGGTTTGGTGTACTTGTGATATGGGTAAGCGTGAAGGTAATACAGGGGGTATATAGGAGATTATCTAAGGGAGTATAATAGCACTCATTAAGGCGGATACTAGGATTTTAGACTCCAGCTCATATGAGCTACCTTCACTCAGGCTTCGCAAGGGACCATTACGCGCACGGTGGGGGTTTTTGGAGGTCCTGGTTTAGGGCTAAGGGTTTAGGGTTTAGTTCTTGTTATATAATTGAGTAGGAACCCATGTCGGTTAATTATATGAAACTCTTTGAGATCATTGAGAGCTGGAACGTTGAGAAAGGTTTCGAGGGATTGTGATTTGGGTAACTGTGATGTTACTGCAGGGTTTGGATAGAATAATAACTATTGAGAACTGGGACCTTGAGGCTTAGAGCTTGGGGTTTTGAGTTTATGGGCCTAGGGTATTACAATTCAGGGTTTGAAGTTGAGACTTTCGGGTTACTGATGCAGGAGTTGAAGGTTCAGACTGTAAGGTGTGTCTTTAGAGCCCCGTCAAATTCCGCAGCCGAATTGAAAGGCTTAGCTTTAGGGGTCGGGGTGCGCGGCGTTTGTATGTATGTATGTATGTATGTATGTATGTATGTATGTATGTATGTATGTATGTATGTATGTATGTAACTATGCATGCATGAATGTTTGCATGCATGCAGGGACGTATGCATGAATAGATGTGTGCATATATATCTATATATGCACATATGCGTATTCGAATGCATGTCTATCGACATCTCTGTACAATGCGTCCGCCGCATTTTCTGCAATACTCCATGCTGTAGTGGAGCATACAGGGTTGTGATCCCACGTCATTGCCTTGTCGCGGTTCCTTGCATTCTACTAGCGTAGGAGGTCACATCCTTAATTTACTCAGGCATATCATGTAACCTGAATGGCTACGCCGAGTAGACGGCAAAGGTCCATTACATCAAGAGTTCAGAACCACAATCTACTTCATCCAACTAATCGTACCAGTTTTTTGATCAGGCTAGGCAGACAGTCATGTGGTTCATCAGGGGTGTTACTTATCTAGACACTGAAATCCTGACCAGTTAGGTTTCATGTTCGTTTCTCGTAGTTATTCATAACCCAAGCAACTATTTCAACACGTTTTTTGGTTATAGGTCTAGGGGAGGTCTATTGGAATGGGAAGTCAAGAGGAAGTCAGGGCTTCAGCCAATCAATTTGAATGCATTTTCCTAGAATCTTAGGGGTGCTTGGAAATAATTTTGCCCGTTTGCTTATTATAACCCTTAGGTATAGAAAATGGAATTTTTTTACTAGGGTTCCGAGTTCCCCAGAGGAATAGGGGGACCCCAACATAGACCCCTAAATATTACAATGTTTATTAAAAGGGCGACCCCCCAAAATGGTATAGGGCTTATTAAGAGGGATGCTAGGAGTTTCGATTATGGCCTAGTTATCGAACATACGTAGTCCCTCCATCCAGGTATCAGTCTAAATAGATTTGTTTAGACTGAGACGTCAAGGCCTGAATACAACCATCTACATGTTGAATTCGTGAGTTCACTCAGATTAGGCAGTCAAGGCTTTGCTTGAATCCAGCTCCGGAATCCCAGCGCTCAATTGCGCGGGTTTGGGGTTTAAGGTTCGGGGTATTGGTACCTATTCATTAGGTTCATTTGATTGCTTAAGCTACGGTGGCAATGTATAGGTTATATGGCGATTAGATGGGGTGTCTAGAGGGTTTCTCACCAACAGTCAGGGCTGAAAGATGTTCAGGCTTTCAGAGTTTGGAGTTGAGGTTAAGGCTTTGGGCTTGGGATCTGATGTTCAGAGTTTAAGGTTTTGTGTTTTTGTTTTTCGAGGCACTGGCTATGATATTAAAGAGGCGATTTTGTAGGATGTGTTGATGGCGAAACATTGAACCAGTTCTTCTCATATCTGTTCTAGTTTTTACATGTGTTTACGGTTTATGTTCTAGTTTTAAGCCTCGTGCCTGACATGTGTTATGCATTTCAGCTGCGCATTAGGCCGCAAGTTCCAGTTCCTTCGCGAGTCGTCCGTTGTGAAAGTAGAACCCTGAAAGCCACGACGGGCCCAGGACGGCCTTCAAGATAATGCTTTGTCGGAGTGTGCGGTCGTGTGAGCTAAGAATAGATCCGGCAATGCGTATGGCAGGTCGGGAAATGTCAGGAGGCACCTTGTTGTGGGGGCTGTAAGTTTGGTTTCGGCATTTGAATTTGCGCACGAGCCTCTTGCAGATAAGCTATTGGTTTAGACTTCAAAACGTCAGGCACAACAACTGGGTCATTTATTTCCTTACGTTCATTGAGATAACGCCCGAATTCAGCAAAGCCTGCGCTTTCAACCCGGTCTACAAATCCAGGTCACTATCACAAACCCAAGACTTGACAGTTTGTACTCAATCCAGGGAAAGTCAAAAGCTCCCCAAAGGCATCCGAAGTGCTGACAGATTTCCAAAGCATGAAAGATACCTTGACGTCGTCCTCAAGCCAAAGTTACACCGGCTTGTTCTGATATGTGTACTAGTGTACCAGTTGACATGGAGATAACTTTGGAGCTCACAGGGTGCTGTATTTTTGGTCAGAATGGCTTTGCGAGAAGATGAACTCGGTACAGTGTGTCCTAACTGCGCATGTTACCAAGTTGTGTCCTGGCTTTTCGGGCCTGAGGGTGTAAGGTGTAGAGTGTATAGGGCTCTGGAGCAAGCAACTACTGTTGACGTTGAACTCTCGCATTTGTAAAAGGTTTTCTATGTACTGGTTGGTTGCATTACACACATGTCTGTATAGTTGCAACTCTGGACACCGCACATTCCGGACATTATGCAAAAGTCCGTGTTCGTTCAGGAGCACGAATGCACTCCCTTTTCCAATCATTGAAGGGAAATAGCTAGTACGTTCAGGGCTAGATACACCCATCAATCCATCAATGCTTCAAAGGTCATGAGTTGTCGTTAAACGCGAGTTCATGTCGCTGATGCACCTAGTCCCATGGGTAGTCACCTCCTACATGTCGGCCACAAAAAGTTTCATATTCCGAGCTGGCAAGCGGTGACTTCAGCCGCCCTGCACTTCAATAATGGTCCTCTAGGCCTAAGCACTGCCCCGCATTGATTCCGTTCCCCTCTCAAAACGCAGTTGTGAATCGGTGGTGAATATGGGGGCCAAGGAACTTGGGTTTTGTCCTTCTGTCAAATTCCAGGTATGAAGCACGCATGAGGACATGTTCTAGTGAGGCAAGCGCACTTCGCAGCAAAAATTAGGATGGGTTGTTTGGTTTTGTTTACACAAGGATAAAAGTTCAATATTTGTTGGCGTGGAAGGGCGCTGGAAACTTCCCACGTGCTCAAACAGGTTGCGCAATGCAAAACGCCATACACCTCAAACCCTGAACGTTAGCCCCCTGCACCAATCTAGCGTCCGGAATATTGCTTCGGGGTTTGTTCAGAATGCAATAGCCAGGACCGGGAGTATGCCAGCTGGAAGTATCATTGGCCAGCGGGCATTCCGAACACTGTTTCCGTACTTGCTGGACCCAAGCCACAAAAGTTAATGCTGCATGCCCGAAACACAACTTCGCCACAGCGATTGCAGCCAAACATTACACAGGCCTTCCCTTGTCTTAAACACTGTTCGCAAAAATTCTAGCATTTATAGGGTATCTGACACGGGGCATGTCACAGGTGCTTACTTAGTACTATCCGTGTGCAAAAATATTAGGGGTTAGCGGAGAGTCATAGTTTCATGATTTGGGTTTTCCGGCTCTGATGCTGAGGGTGTAGGGTAAAAGGAACTGGTTGTAAGGTTCAAGGTTTAGGATTTCGGGAGTAAGGCCTGTGCAGGGTCAAAGGACGCGTATCTTGAGGTGCTTCAAAATCAGTAGTGAGATTTTGCAGCTTCGACGGAATTTTGGAGCTAAAGCCGTGATACTGAACTAACTACTCAACTCAACTTTCTTCTGGAATCTATGTGGTTGCGACATTATTGCAGCCTACCACCTGCAAGGTTAGGGATATAATGTGTGTGCGGTTAAGGGTTTACGGGCTTCAAATTGCAGAGATGCAGGTGTAGGGCTATGCAATCATTACATGCGTCTCACGTAAGGGCAACCCTGCCAGTAGGCGGCTAGCTCCCGTTTATCCTATACCTGCTTCGTGGACTCCTGTGGACTCCTGGAAATGTTTGGGAAGCGAAATGCTCATCACGTATTCTTTGTTTAGGAGCTGAGTCGCAGCTGAGTGAAGGTCATTTTTCAGGTATTATACTTGTAGCGGAAGAGGGGAACGAGGGAACGGAGTAGGCCCCGTAAGTGCTATTTTCAACATTCTTCGCCTTTCGGGTACCAACCTAGGACGCGCATGTGAGAAATTGACCATCTAACCATCATGCACGAATTATCTTTGAGCAGTCATCACTTCCCACAAATTCAACCCTCCAAACTCCCTCAAGCAATGTAACCCAATCTAGCAGGGCAACTAAGAGTCCTTACGTAGGGAATATTGAATGTTGGGGGTGCGGAGGTGTCAGGACTTGGGAGGAAAGGCTTGTTTTGTTATTCAGCACCGGGATGGGAAGTAGCGCAAACAAATTCAGGAGGACGGCGTCTATCGTCGACCCATGTATGCCGGGAATGCAATCGCCACAGCGTTTGGCCCAGATAGTTTCCGACTTATTGGGAGTTTGTGACCAAAATCGTAATAACAGGGGGAACCTCAATCGGAACCCAAGAAAAGGTACCCTAACTTTCCATAAAGCCTTTTCAATCTAAAAAAAGCCATGACCTTGTTTCCGGTTCTCCTAGAATCCGTACATATCCCTAGGCTGCTTTGGGGTATCTTCAAGCAGCCCCTTTACAGACTAAACCCTCAGATGCGCGAGTAGGGATGACACTTAATCACTTTGCCCCCAGAATGAATCCTTTCGCCGTGTTTAAGATTAAGTGTACCTTTTTGGGGCCCCTATGATAAGGATCATGGTATGTTGAGGTCTAGATTGGGGTCCCCACCTTTTGAGAAAATGCAATATTCATGCCCGGGGAACGAATGCCAAGATTGCTTTGGAGGCACATTTGTTGATTTTCTGCGCTTAGCAGGGAGTGTGGATGCCTAGGTGGTACCTGCATTGCCGTAAACCCTAAACCCTGCATTGCCCTGCCGCAGGGTTGTTGAGGCTATGGTTCTCTGACAGATTTCCTTTTTCAGCCTGGTGGGAGACGGGCATGCATGCATAGATGTATATATGAGCTATAGTCTAATTTCCTTCAAGGTGGGGTTATATAGAGGATTTTCCAGGGTACTATTATAGAGCTTTATTCAGGGGGATACTAGGAGTTTAGACTGTAACTCATATGAACAAAGATTAGGGGCTCATAGAGGTGCATCAGTCGTAACAGATGGAGGCACAAGGTTTGATAAGCCACACCTAGACGGCCCAATGTAGCAATTTTTTGGCAGTCGTCTAAAGGATTAAGGATCCAATCCAAAAAACCATTCCCAATACAAGAAGGAAGTACATGGGAGGGTCTAGCATATCCTGCTGATGGACCGCTCCGGAAATCTTCAAGACCAGGCACCACTCAGCCCGAAATCTTTTGCGGAGAGTCTAGGTTTCGGGTTTAGGGTTCTAGTCCCCCTTAAGTAGATAGACGTTGGCTTTGGATATCTTTTAATAAGATCCCCATATAGCCCATATTCTATCTACTTAAGGGAGACTATAGGTACTGGCGCATCTTAATGGCTCGAATATGGTTTAGGCTTTAGAAACAGAATCGCGGGGAATGAAAGGGAAAACAACATAGACACTGAAACGAAAACGGGTGTTCTACACGGATGTTAGGGGTTGCAACAAGGAGGCCTGAACCATCAGAATGGTGCTTCGGGTGTCTTATATGATACAAGTTGTATCCGGGTTACTGGAGACTAATGTTGGTGTTTCAAGTTTCTGCAGTCCGAACAAGGAAGGGCTTCCTACCCCAAATCTGAAACCCTAAACCCTAAACCCTATAACCCTAAACCCTATAACCCTAAACCCTATAACTCTATATCCGTGTAACCCTAGAATCCTATATCCCTAAACCCTAACAGGAGAAGCCCAAACCTGCCACATCCTGCCGAGGTGCAGAGTGCCGACGACGTGCGCCTTTTGACCTTCCGGCAAACAGCTTTTGAGGCCGCCCATTGGGGTAAGATTGGGGCTATATGGGGAAAATGGAAGAGAACATGGAAACTACTTTTTTATATAGGTGTTATAAGGGATAATGGAAAATAAAATGGAAACTATTACTACTACTACTACTACTACTACTACTACTGCTGCTACTACTACTACTACTACTACTACTATTTAGGGTTTAGAGCTAGGGTTTAGGGGTTAGGGAGACCACGGAAGACCTCTCCTTAGGGTTTAGGGGTTTGGGGTTTAGAGTTTAAGGTTTAGGGTCTTAGGCTCTAGGGCTAAGGGTTTAGGGTGAAAGCACCCTGTGAACACCAAACTTATCGTTGAGACATTGTGTGAGTGTCATCGTGACTCCTTGGTTGGAAACCACAAGAGGAAACTTCCTGTCACAAGATCATGATGCAAGACAAAAGCATGGTCCATGGCAAGCCCGACAGCGGAGTACACCCGTAACTTCAAGCCAGCCTTTCCTCAAGCTGTCGATCCTGAGAAGCGGAACAAGATCTTCTGTAGCTATCAGGATGCGTTGATCGATGCGCTCCGGGGAATGAGAGTATTCTTGAAGCCAGCTGATCTACCCTTTTGTTAGGGTCCCCGGTTTTGAATTTCAACTCATGAGCCATGAAGTTGGGTACCCTAAAGAGGTAAGGTATAGGGGCTAGGTAGGGTCAAGGATCTAGGGGTCGCACCTCAGAGCCTAAAGTTGCGGACTTGTTGATTGAGGGTGTTGGGCCTAGAGAGCCCATTGGGCTGGAGCAGATGGCTGAGCAGGCTTAGCACTGGAATTAGAGGAGAGGCATGGTTTCGTATAGGGCTTGTGGCTTGATAGGGTTCCTAACAGCCTTTTAAAAAGACCTGGAGGGATCATCCAAGTTTAAAGTTTGCGGACTAGGGCTTCTTGTTATTTTCCGGCACAGAATTTGTCAACGCAAGATGTTATCTGAAGCGCCGATCGATCATAGTTTTTGTAGGCGCGCTCCTTGGGACGTACCTAGGGCCTGAGACATTTGGCCTAAACCTTAATCCCTAAACCCTGAGCTCCAAGCGTTCAAGCTCAACTCTGAAGTGCTCCAGGCTCTTGACCCCAAATCCTCAGCCCTCAGCATTCGGGTTTAAGGTTTAGGGTTCAGGGCCAGCCCAAAGTGGAGACGGGGACTGGATCCCTACAATCATCTCTATACCAGCCCCTATGACAGTGCGTATATATTCGCTCATCCATTCCGCCTGTTCGCACCAATGCCAACAGTTAAATCCCAAACGCCAACCCGGCTGCCAAGTGCCTCCTTTTTTTTACAAGCCACTTACAAAGTCCCGTTTTGCTTCTTTTCCTGTGGCGAGGCGTTCTGATAGACCAATCAAATAACGAGGCTACGTGCGAGACCTAGGGTGAAATATCCAAATCTGGGTTTCCCACATTGGGGCTACCTTTTGGGTCCTTAGAATAAGGATTATGGCATTTTGGTGTTTATATTGGGGTCCCCTATTTTGGGAAACTACCAAATCTAAAAGACTTCTGAGAGCATGGTTTGCTCTATCAATAATGGAGAACAACATGGCAAGCGTCATCAAACTCCTTGTCAATGAACGCATCGTTTCCGTTTGGAGGTTTTCCGAAGAGCAAAAAAAGATTCTACTTTTTGATCTACATTCTGAACACAGAATAAAGATGCTTCAGCATGAAAAGCTTCTATACCTTGTGAACTCCTTCATAGCTGCACTCATAGACCACCGGACTAGGGAAGAATCTTTGCTCCCTAAACCCCGAAAGCCTAGCTTCAACCCCCCCATAGAAGCTGAAATGCTTTATATTTCCTAGATTCTGTATATGCGATATAGTATAAACTCCTAGCATCCCCCTTGATATGTCATTGAATACTCACCTATATAAACCCTTATAGAACCTCCTTCAAGGAGTTTTTAGACTATAGCTCATGTAGCTCTGGTTAGGGTAGTATTTACTTCAACCTCAAGTTGATTTGGTTATTGCTTCCGCATGATGGAGCAACCGATGTATATACCCCAACCAAAATCGGCTTTGTCCCCCCCCCAGATCCTGAACCCCATTTCCCTAAACCCTAAACCCTAAACTCTATTTAAGTAAGCCTATGAAGCCCTAACTGGCCAGCCTTGGAGCAAGCGCTCACATTGCTAAGAAGGTGTTTGGTCTCTGCAAGTAAGTGGTAGAGACAGCTTAAGTAGGGGGTTCCATGATTAAGGGTCCCTGTTGGGGGTCCCTAGACCCTAAACCGAAGGATTGATTATAGGAAAGTGGTCTACATTCGGGGCCCCTCATTTATGCAAACTCCCATATGAGCTATAGTCTAAACTCCTTAAAGATTGTTATATGGGGATTATATAGGGATCCCATTATAGGGGTTATTTAGGGGGCTACCAGGAGTTTAGACTATAGCTCATATTGGGGTCATATGGAGGTTATACAAGGGTTACAAAGGGATTATGTGGGGGTGTGAGGGTTATATATAGTGGTTACATATGGATGATCTAATGGTTCTATAGGGATTAGAATACCGCAGTTTTGGTAACCCAAACGCACCAATTAAGGAAGCCTTTCGAGTCATCTGATTTTGCTAAAGTCCTGGTTTTGGGGGTCTGTGAGTTTCGAAATCCCCTGTGCGTTCAGAATCTGGGCGGGATTTTGCGTTTTTTTGTTTTTTCCGGCGGGAATTTGGGTGAGAGTAGCATAGAGAACGTAATAGTTCCCATTTCCGTTTCCATGTCATTCCATTTGTTGAAGTAACACCCTTGTATAATCCCAATCTAGAATTGGCATGATTTGCTTACTGGTGGTATGTAGGGAATAAGGGCATAGCATCTCTACATAATCCTTATTAAACCCCTACATAACATATCCTCTGATTCCCTACCAACCCCCCATTAAGGTTCGGAAGACACCGTAAGCATACATCCGACGTGGAATCCCCAGTAGCCGGCTCCTGGCACGTAGCCTCAGACTTCCACATGGCTTTTCTTCATGCTTAAGGTTTCCCAGGCCCAGTTACCTAAACCATAAACCCTAAACCCTTAACCTAGGCTACTGGGCTATGCAACTATTTTGAAAGATTAGCGGGAAGGGATTGAGTAGTAGTCACCTGTAGCGCATTTACCTTCAGTTTTCTGCTAATTAGGGGGAATTGCTACCAATTTTTGGTCAATTGGGGGTATACTCCACTTAAGGAACCCTTAGGTACGTTCGACCCCCCATTAGACGAGACTATTAGGTCTTGCTTGAGTGTTGCAGGGTCCTCAGGGGGTGTGGGGTAATAAATTTTTTGCCTTTCCCAAAGTAACGTCCTCCCCGAAAGTAACATGGAACCTGAAAACGGGCCCCATACAGACCACTGTCCTTCTTAAGGGCCTATTTTGAAAGGGGCCCCTTTCAGGGTCCATGTTTTGTGGATACTAAAAATCCTGCATGACTCTAAGTACCTTATGCC